CTGTGGCTCATTTTCAGCCAAACAATTGATCTAGAGGGTGAACAGTAAGAGTACGAGGGAGATACACACTCCTTCGAATGATTAGCCATTTGATCTCACACGGGCAGCATTTACTCAACGGTAAAGTGGGGTAAACAAGAAAATGGGGCGGGAAAGGAGGAGGAAGGAAATTCCAGACACAAGGGGAGAAGTAACATGACATTGCAGTGACTACGATACTGCTGCATTAAACATTGATTTGCTTAGCTCCCAATAAATGGTTTTGAAATTAAAAATTTTTCTCTGTAAACTTTCACCTAATTTACCATAAAAAGTTTTCAAAAACATAAACATTTTAAAAAGAGAGAAAGATTTGGTGATTTTCTTCTGAAAACACAGGTAATGGAAACCCGATGGAGTTAGTTCTTCTCTGGCACAGCTTGGGTGCCATGCACTGGGACCAACTTGGCAGCCACCGAGGCTCTATTTTGTTTTGCTTTATTGTTGTTGTTGTTTGGGGCTACAGGTTTGTCTGAACTCTGCCAACAGCCACTGGCCTTTTCTTCCTATTGGTAGAACCACCATTTACTTTGAATAACTCTAGGTGAATCCCAAGGTTCTTCCTGAGTCTTGAGGGTCTTTGTTAGGGTCTCTTAATGAGTCGGCAAATTACCCAGTTCCAGCCAGGGATGCTTACTGGGAGCTTCTGGGAAAGCTTTGATCACTGATGAAAAAGAGCTGCAGGAAGTGAGAGCGGCGAGTGTGGGGCGTGAGGGAGTGGTGAGTAAGGAGGCTGAGCACATACCCAGCTCTGAAGACCTTATATGTCTTCGTGGAGAAGTCTGGACTCGGTGCTGCGGGCAGTAGGACCACTGCTCAGCCCTGTGCTTCATCTCCCAGGCTGTGCCACATGGAGAATGGATTGAAGAGGGAGAGCTTGGGAACAGGAGACCTGGGGGGTGGGGGGTGGGGGGAGCTGGATAACTTCCAGGGATGATGAGGTCTACAGGGGAGGCTCTCTGGGGCGGAGTGACAAGGAGTCAAACTGCGGATTCTCCATGCCTCCGGGGGTCCCAAGGACCTTTGCCCTGATGTCATGCTGCCCTCAATCTGGACGGTCTGATCCATCTACACAGGCCCAGTGACACTGGCAAATCCAATGAAGAAGCTTCTTAAATGATTTTTCAAGAAATAAGATGAAAACTTTAAATGGTTTTCCTTTAAATACATGGCTCAAATATCAAATTTTGCTTTGCGCTGTGCTGTTGTTTATATTGTGAGTGGGTTCCAGCACGCACAGCAACCGTGTGTCCAACAGAAGGAAACACCGCTCGTCCGTCCTCTGCCATCTTCACCATCGCAGCTGTCTGTGAGCCTGTCGTATCCACGATGTCGGGTCGTCTCGTTGAAGGTCTCCCTCTTGTTTGCTGACCCCTCTACTCTAGCACGATGTCTCTCCTTCTCAGGGGATCAGCCCCTCTGGATAACAGGTCCAAAGTAGGTTAGACGAAGTCTCACCGTCTCTGCTTCCAAGGAGCTTCCTGGTGGTGCTTCTTTTAAGACTGTTTGGATTATTCTCCTGGTAGTCCATGGTAGCATCACTAGTCTTTGCCAAGCCCATGATTCAAACGCATCACTTCTTCAGTTTTCTTCATGCATTGACCCACTTTCCTATGTAAACAAGGTGATTGAAAATACCCTGATTTGGGCATGGCACACATTAGTCCTTAAAGTGCCATCTTTGCTTTTTAACACGAGGTCATTTGCAACAGATTTGCCCCATATGACATCATTTCATTTCTGGACTGCTGCTTCCAGGAACATTGCCTGCTTTACAGAATCTTTGCCACACGGATCTGATTCAACCTTCTGAGGGGCTGGGCTGCATGTTACTGCTGATACCAACATGTAAGACACATCCCTTCCCAGTGACTAATTTGAACTGCGTCAGACCAGGGCTATGTTGCAAGTACGCATGCCTGATGTACTGCTGACTTGGACTGGAGTCACTCAGTCCAGCATGGGAGTGAGGGGCTCACTTGGTCAGAACCAGACAAAGGAAGGAGTGACAGATGGGGAGTGGGTGTGTGGCGGGGGTGGGGTGGGGGGGGTGGAGACCACAGCATGCAGGAGAAGACACGGGGTGTGCTCCTGGTAGACAATATAGGTGGCTTATAGTTGACTCCCCCCACCCTCACATTTTTATTAGTATATTACCATCTGCTTGTTGGGGAATAAATTACACACACCCCTCATCAGTTTCTAAGAGTAATCACTCTTTGATTTTATTCTTCCCATACTCCTCCTTTGCATGCATAATCTGCCATCGAATCTATTCTGACTCATCCCTACCCTCTAACAGAGAGTGAAACTACTCTTTAAGGTTCCCGTGCTTATAAATCTTTGCAGGAGCAGACAGCCTCATCGTGTCTTCCTGAGGAGTGACTGGTGGACTTGAACTGCCAAACTTGAGGTTAGTAGCCACCCCATCAGTGAGCTATATGTGTATACATAGGCAGGTATATCAAATCACTGCCCATGGAGTCAATTCTGACTCACAGAGATCCTATATGACACGGCAGAATTGTCCCTGTGGGTTTCCGAGACTGTAACACTTCATCGGTGTAGAAAGCCTAATTTATTCATTTACATTTTTATTGGTCCCTAATCCACATATCCAATGATTCAATCATAAGGCTCGCCTTCATGCATTGAATCTTCCTTCTGGGCTGCTGTGAGGGCTGAAGGGCTCAGACTGCACGGAGCTCAATCACGGTCATTTCTGCACGCTGACTCTGAATCACTGCCCACCCAGACGCCCTTCTTGGGGTCATTTCCCCAGGGACACTTCTCAGCCCTCAGTCAGCCGACGGTGGTGGACTAGGTGGGCAGCTGACTGGAGCTGGAGTCCCCGACAGGCCAGCGAGGACCTGGAGGAGGAGGAGCTGACCACGCAGAGCGAGGGCGTTTGAAGGGAAGGGAAGCAAGGGGGAAGCAGCGGCTTCCTTCGGTGCCTCCGTGTTGCCCGGGTTCAGTTTCTCCAGTCTCTGGGGTCAGCGGGGTGAGCCTGGCGAAAGTCTGAAGATGGTTTTCATAGATAGATGGGACCTGCCCTGCTGGGTTTGCAGCCGAGTGGGGTGGGGCTGGATGGCGGCATGGAAAAATACCAGGCTCTCTGTCTCCAGGTAGGAGCTGGAGCCCAGGGCCCAGCCCAGGCTTCTAGTCAGTCTCCCAGCGGGGGAATGAAAACCAGATTCATGGGCTTATCTGAGCCTCGTGACTGTTTCCCATCACTGGCCTGGAGCCTGGAAAAGATCCCAAATCCATTGTTGCAACATGTTATTTATAGGCACTTGTCTGCAAAGAAGGTCCTGCCATTTGCTGGACCACGGTGTTACAATCTGGAACTTTGGTTCACTCAACAAATATCAAACCCCTGCAGGGGCTGGGGGAGGGACAGAGCACAAGAGCACGGCTCAGGAAGGGCCCCCACCTGGGTCTATCTCCTGCTACCTTCCCTCCTCCTCCAGGGCCTCGCTGACCTGTCCGGGACCCCAGCTCCAGTCAGCTGCCAACCTAGTCCACCGTCAGCTGACTGAGATCTGAGATGTGTCCCTGGGGAAATGACCCGAAGAAGGGTGTCTGGGTGGGTGGCGAGTCATAGTTAGCGTGGAGAAGTTACTGTGATTAAGCTCCATGCATAGTCTGGGTCCTTCAGCCCTCACAACAGCCCAGAAGGAAGATTTCAGACATGATTGTGATACAAGATTTAATAAACCATTGTACAAACGGCCCCACCTCCTTAAGCCCCAGAGGCCCTGGGTGGGGCAAATAATTAAGTGCTTGGTTACAAACGGAAAGGTTGGTGGTTTCAACCCACTCACGGCACCTTGGAAGACAGCGCTGGTGATCTGCTTCTGAGATCCCGGCCTGCAAACCCGGTGGAGCCCGTTCTGTGTTGACCACCGCCACGGCTCTGATGCTGCTTACACCCCAGCTCTCAGCTCGCTCTCCAGTGCCAAGGTCCTCCTAAGGCAGCAGTTATAATACCTGTCATGGGGAGGGATGCCTGTTTCTCCAATGCCTTCCTCATCCTCCAATCACAAGATGGCCCTAAATTTGCCTTTTATTATTATTATTATGAGAAGCTAAGAAGGAACCACAGGAAAAAGGCCCGAGCGACCCCTCATGGTCTGGGCCTCTAACAGCAAGGTCAGCATTTCAAAACCACCAGCTGTTCGGGAGAAAGACAGACTGTCTACTCCTGTACAGAGTCTCAGAAACGCACAGGGGCAGTGCCACCCTGTCCTCTTGGATCGCTGGAAGTTGGCATCGACCGGACGGCAGTGAGTTTGAGTTTGCTGTCCATCTGTAAGGAGTCCCGCAGGCCTCTCTGGCACAACCTGCAGCTGCTAACCCAAAGGTCAGCGGTTCTAACGTACCAGCTGCGCCAAGTGGGCTTGGGGACGGAGCTCTGGTGGTAGTATGTTACTCATTGAGTTATTAACTGCAAGTTATGGTGCTTTCCCAATGCACCATGAGCAGAAATTTAAAGTCTCAGAAACCTAAAGGGGCAGTTCTACTCTGAATCGGATTTGATTGGGTGGCGGTAAGAAATGGGTTTGGTCCGTTTGGGTTTGATGGGAACTTTGTAGGCACACATCTATCTACCCGTGTACGCACGGTTTCGCACGTTGGAAATGAGTTGGGCCAGCTTGGGAGACAGCAACGACCACCTGCGGGTTGCTTTTCTTCCGAGGCGGCTGGATCCCTGGAGGCGCCGGCCGTCTGCCTTCAGTTTGCAGCTAAGTCTCCACCCCAACAGCGCGCCGGTGCTGGGGCCAAGCTCAAGGGTTGAACTTCAACGCTCTGAGCTCTCCAGAGAAGGGCGCCCCCAGCTAGACCTCTCTGGAATTCAAAACAATCTCAGGTCGTGAGAGCCGGAGGACGGCTAGCTCCTCCTTCGGTGTTGAAATTCCAGGTTGTCTGAGCTTAGAATCCCGTCCACCTTCGCTGTGTGTCGCGGGGCCCAGGTAGGGAGCGAAGCCCGCGCTGAATCGGAGTTCCTCTACCCGGCAACAGAGGGGACTCTGGACAGAGACGTGACACCCACCTGCCTCTGGGCTTGGGCCTTTCTAAGGTATGACACGTGCCCTGAGTCCCTCCAGGGAGGAGGGGGCCGCCTTCGGACACTTTCTATCAGCCTCGCCATTTCCATCGCCAGCCCCGAGGGAGCATTCAGTGATTTCTAACCAATAGCCATCGGCGCTATTTCCCAGGGGTCGCTTCTCGACCGAGCGCCAACCG